CGTGTCACAACCAGGTAGACATGGCATGAGTGTTTCTGTCTTTTCTTTTGCCATGAGGGTAAAACCCCTCTTGGCTCTCCCGTGGGAGTCACCAACCCAGGTGAGCATTTGAGTGACAGAGCATTAAATGTTTCTTATTTTCTGGGCATGATTTGTTACTGCAGTTTAGCATGTTCCAAACTAACTAAATCCTCTCCAACCAGGATAGGTGGGATGTCGCCAGGACTTCTCCATCCTTACAGGGTCCCTGGCCATTAACAAGTGCAAGGCTCACAATCGATGCATATTAACTGTTTTTTATTTATTAAATAAAATCCTTTTGTGGGGTGCTCATCCACAAAGAATTGGGTCCACTCTTGAAATCCCTATCACACCTTAAAGCTCATAGTGAGCTTTGGGTAAGTTGCACTCTATGTGAAACCAAAATGGACTTCCAACCTCCATCCACGCCCCCCGCCCCTCACCCACCTGCCCCTGCAGATCTTCTACTGGAAGCTAGCACCTCTGCCTTCCTCACCGTATGAGCAGAATATTTCCAGTATGAAAGCTCTTCTTGTATCTATAGGTTTTGATTAGATTCTTGTGACAGGAAGCAAGGGTATACTTGTTCTTTCTACACAAAACACAGTGCAGAGAAATTGAGGTCTTTTAAGGTGGGCTCCATGGCAAAGTTTCTGTTCAGCTGATTTTCTCGGATGTCTTCCAGCCTCCAGCCCACAGTAGACGGACTATTAATAAAGACCCCTGGTTTAGGGAGGAGGCGAAATTCTAAGCTAAATCATAACCTCTACATGTTCGGTGAGGAGGAAGGAAATTAAAATAGATTTTCCATCTGTCTCTCAGGCATTAGCTCATGTAACCTCCCAGACGTACAAAATACTACAGGAAGCTTGGTCTTCTACCTGCCGGGAGGAGGTGGCTGCCATGTTGCGTGTCGCTGGTCGTGCTGTGATTGTTAAGTACCAGAGAGCTCTACTTCCCGTTTGGATTCCTGGGGGAGTTTTTAAACCACAGAGGCTCTCACATGGGTGCGCATGGTCCTCGTCTGTGCGGGGTCGTCGAGGAGCAAATCTCTATTTCTTGAGTTCCCTTCTTCCACAGATTGGTCTTCCTGAGAAAGCATCTAGCTCGAGGTACTCAGCTTTCATCTGTCTGCTCAGCCTCTGAGGCTCGCAGTGCGGTAGACAGCTGTGGGCGCTGCCCACAACCTCCTGGGGTCATGTCATGGAGCATCAGAGAGGACGCGGGTCCCCTGATGACTAGGTGACAAGCCCTTTCTCAAGCCTCTCTTCATTTCTGACTCTTGGTCTTTGACAACGTGGGAGGAGGAGGACCTCAAAATAGTCAGCTCTTCATACATTGCTGCAGCTGACGGGGCACGAGCAGTGTAGGAGGAGGTCAGGGGACGGAGAGACGTGCAGCTGCTCAGTGCGTGGTGTCTCAGAGCTGGGGGGGTGGGAGCCGAGCCAGTGCCAACCAGTGTCCTCCCAACCAAGGGCACACCTTCGCTGACACAGGTTTCATTTAATGAGACTGTTATCAGTTAGTGTGACTGACACCCACCATGCGTCTTCTGCACTTCAGGTGAGGACCTGCACCTGCACGCTCCCAGTCTCCCCTTTCTTGGGGTTCTGGTTGGAGTCTGCCAAGCAGAGATGCGAGGCTTTGGGAAATAGGGAGAAGTCGTCATTCTCATGTGGCTTTCGGGGCGGTTGGGGGCCAGCATGGGGCGCTGGCATCAGAGTGCAGCAGGCCATGATTTCCTAGGGAGAAGCCCCCCAGCTCTGCCTCCCCCCACAGTGGCCAGTGGCTTTTTATCTCCCCAGTCTAGACTCGCATTATTCTTCTGTCCAGATGGGACCCTACGGGGATTCCATGTCCCGACCCCATGAAGTGAGCCATGGTCACTTCTGCACATGGGGTTCATCAGCCTGCACCTCAAATGTGAGGCTATAATAAATCCGTTATCTGCAGCCATGGGGAGCTGTGTCATCTCCTTTACCCCACTCTTGTCTTCTGCCTGTGCTCTGGGATCACCCTTCCATCTGTATGCTCAATAATTTTTTTTTAAGTTAGACCTTTTTAGTTTAAACCTGTCCTGAATATAATTATAATGAATCTCAGTTTAGAATTTTAAAAACCAAATTTAGAGACTTATGGGCAGAGACCCATACATTTGAATTTCTCTACCCATTTTGGTGGCAGAGAAGGATGGCAGTGTGTTCAACAAAAGACTTTCAGACATAAAAATAGTTCTGAAGTTCTTTGGAAGAAATAAAGCGGAAAGCAAACGAAGGGAATCAAGTAAGTATAAACTCCAGGTCTGGTGAAGAAGAGGCTGTCTGTATATGTTTTTAAATGAATAATGGTGGCATCAGATCGCCATGGTATTTAGATTCCAGTGAGGACTTCTGAAAGAGTGATAGAACAGTTTAATTTTAAAATGTCAATAGTTACAATATACTGAAATTTCCAACCTTTCAGCTTAGGAGGGAAAATTTTAAATGTCAACTTTTAGATGTGCTTGGGGATGCATAGTTTTGTAAGAATTACTCCGAGCGCTGCTCACAGAGGTCTTTTCTAGGGTGATGAGTCGCTCCGCCCCATCCTGTCTCAGATCAGCCTCCCAGTGCGGATTCTAAGTTCTGAAATGTGGATGAACGCAGAAAATTCATTAATACTATTAATATTGTTTTCATCTGTTGTAAATGTGAGTGGACCCGAGTGGCCAGGGAGCGTCTCTCTGTACAGAGACTCTTTGGGGCGTGTCCACTCGAGGTGACCGGGAGACCAGGTGTCCCTGGCTCAGGGAGCCCAGCCTCTCTGAGTGGCACGCGGGAGCTTTTCTGCGGTTCTGGCCACTGTGGAGCAGCCGCTTCTCAGCAATGACTTTGGGGGACAAGGCCCCCCTGTAGCCAGAGGGAGTCGCAGGGCCGCCTTGCAATGGGGGTGCAGGGGGTTGGTGACAAGGCCTAGGTGCCTCTGTCAGCCCTGGCACAGGCAAGATGGGCAGTGGCCTATCCAGAGGGGGCAGTTTCTCCTCCCGCTTGGGTTTGGGCAGGTGGTGCTGGGACCCCGGGCTGCAGAAGCCCCCAGGACAAGCTTCTCAGATAGCACAGGGCGCCTCCCTGATGCGCTTGGTCAGCAAGGCCAGCTGAGGTGGCCGGCGTGCAGTGAGGTTCAGGTGAAGCCCCCAAAGCCTCGTGGGCTGTGCCTGCCTCTGCCTGAGGGCACAGGTTCTGGGCACGGAAGACAGCACCCACAGTGCACTGGGGGACAGCACGTGGGGGCTGCGTGAGCCGTGTGACGCCGGAGACTGATCAGAGCCAGTGTGGATGGGGCTTGCTTCCCCTTGCCCCACTGCACTGCAGAGGGGGTTCAACAAGGCTCCCCCCTCACTCAGATGAGTGTCCTCCACCAGCACATCTCCTGTGTTCTTACTTTCTGTCTCTCGGGTGTTCAGGCCCCAGGGGCCTGGCAAGTGGGACTAGTTGGTCCCCAGCCAGAACTTAAAAGTACTGCCATGTTTTTATGCCAATTAATGTGAACTATAAATAAGCAGTGAGCTACAGAGTGAGTTTTCAAGGTCCAACAAAATGTTTCCTTGGGCTGCCTCGAATGCTGTTGTATACTCCAGAGTCTCGGACTAGGCTCTGGCCAGCGCTGCTCATGCGCATGCCTCCCCACGGCCCGGGCTTTGTCCTCCATCAGGACAGCCGGTTCTGCTCGGCTCACAGCCTCATGGTCCCACCTTCCCAGGGGGGCTTTCGCCCAGTCCATCCCAAGTGCTGGCCCTTCTGGGACCACAGGAGGCCACGTCGCTCCCTCTCTGCCGGGACAGGGAAGTCAGTACAGGGACCCAGACCCACCACTGCACATGGCTGCATTGTGCCCGTATGTGTGGTGTCTGCTGTGTGTGTACGTGTGTGGCATGTATGCAATGCGTGGCCGGTGCACACACGCAGTGTGTGTGTGGTACATGTGCACTGTGGTGGGGCACAAGTGTGTGGCATATTGTGTGTCGTGTGCATTGTGTGATGTGTGCACGTGTGTGCCTCACACACTAATCTGGAGCGCCCCTCGCCAGGCCCCCAGAGTGGCCATCTGTCCTCCTGCACTGGCCTTGTGCCTCCTGCTCCCCCCGGGGATTCAGAAGAGGAAGCACAGAGCCAAACTGGCCCCTGGTCTGGGCCGTGGGTGGGCAGCCGCACCCTGTGATTCTGCAATCTTGCCCCACGCATGTCACGTGCAGCATCGGAGGCCTGGGCAGGGAGGCCTGGGCAGGGACGCCCGGGGAGCTGGGTTTGGGGTGCCTCCTCTCACGCTGCAGACAGAGTAGCCCCAGGAGGCTGGAGGAGGGATCCACGAGGGGTGCGTCTGCCCCACGCGTTTGTCTTGCCCAGGGTGTGAGCTGTCATTTCCATGGTGACAGGCCGTGGGAGAGGGTATGTGGGCAGGGCTCCCACCCCAGGGAGCTTCACACGCGTTAGGGAACCCCTGCAAACCTGCCAGCTGTCCCTGAGCTGGGGTCCCTGGTTTCCCTGCGACCCGAGGCAACGGGCGGCTCCTGCCTCCCAGGACTGCATGGGGTGCTGAGTGAGCCGAGGGTCGCTCAGGTCACAGCAATGGAGATGAAGGTGATGATGACCAAGAGGGTCAGCCTGTCCACACCCTGGTGCCCTGCACCCTGTCTTCTTGCTGCCACGTGCCTCCCCTGCCATGGCTGGGGATTTAGATCCGAATGCGGACGCGAGGGAGCTCTGCAGAATGAAACCATTTCCTGTCCTGTCTGGGCCTCGGCCTGGGACTTCAGGCCATCCCTTTGTCCTTGTGTCTTGACGCCTGCCCCTTGCTGTTGCCTTGCCCTGGGATGCCTGGACAGGAGCAGCGGGCTGTGGGTGGGGTGGGGGCAGCGCAGCAGCTCAGTGGGTGCCTGGAACAGCAGGTGCATCAGGTCCGGTGTGGCTCAGGGCTCAGGTCTCCACATCCTGTCTCCACAGGGCCAAGGTGAAGAAAGGGGTGAGCATCGTTGGGGTCCGGGCCAGCAGTCCCTCCATCTGGGAAGTCAAGGCAAACACGGACCATGCCGGAAAACATGCGCCGGCCGTCATCGAGTGCCGGAGGACGTCGGCCGGCCTGGGGGACAGGTGAGTCAGAGCTCAGCTCTGCCCGCATCTGCATGGGTCTGTTCCTCAGGGCACCGCTCCTTTGTGCAGTGCTCGAGCCGCTGGCCAGGCCTAGTGGGCCCTCCTCTGAGGTGCAGGCTATTCTCCTAGTGGCCAAGGCACAGTGTCAGCCCGGCTCCCGGCCACTTTCGAGGACCCCCTGCAGGTGGGGCTGACCAGTCATCATGGGCCTGCAAAGCCTGGCCTCCTCATGAGCCGCTTGCCCAGGCAGTCTCCTTGCTGGCCTGTGTGGGTCAGCACCATGCAGGCCGCTCCACCACCTGGCGAGGGCCTGGCCCCGCGTGGGGTCAGAATCGCTGCGCACAGGGTCACGGGCTGCCTCTGGGAGGCCAGTCTGGGCTCATGGGCCCTGCAGGGGAGTGGAAGCCGGGCTCTGCCACTGGCCCCCAGTTAGACCCGGCTGAGCCACAGCCGGGCAGAGGCTCTTGAACTTGATGTCTTTTGGATTAAGCCTGTTTCTTGACTTAATTCTCATGGCTCCAGAAAACCCCTCTCTGGCCCCGCGTGTTGCCTCCTCAAGAGTGCAGTTGGTCTTTCTGACACTGGAAACGTGAACAGTGATGAAAGGAGAAACCCAGGGTTGTAACCCCTCATTTCTGAGGTCAGATTTGTAGACTTAACTAGCTCAGTATTTGGAAAACAGGCTGTTGCCCACCATCTGCTCCAGTGTGGAGGCCGCATCCCGCTGGTGGCCAGTGCTCTCCCTGCTGGCTTGCCCTGAGGAGCTTCCTGGTCAGCCTAGGGAGGGTCCTGTCACTCTCATGTGCACCCTGGGACGCGAGTGACGGGTCCCGTACTCTGCCACATGCCTCTCCCTCTGGGACCAGAGTGCCCAGGTTTCTTCTGGAAGCTTTGCTTGGAGAGCAAATGAGGGGGAGGAGAAACCTGTATCGTACCTGCACCCATGCAGGTTTGACGTGTCGCACTGGTCAAGCTCATAGACCTCCAGGCCAGCACAGTGTCTGCAGCACCAGGGGGATGGGACATCCCACCTGAACACAGGCTTCTTTCATGATGTGAAAGGCCGCACAGTATTTAGGGAGGAAGGGCGGGCGGATGGATGGACAGACAGATGGATGGACAGATTAGACAGGCAGATCGATAGGCAGACAGACAGGCAGGTGACTGATAGATCTTACTCTTACCGGAAGGGGGGTGGCTGGCAAGAGCTCTCTGCCATTGTGCTGTGTGTTCCCTCTGCTTTCTGGCCTCCTTTTCTGCTCCATGATGGTGATGGTGATGGTGGTGACTAACAGTGATGATGGTTGTGGCACTAACTATGAAACACAGAGGGATTTGAACCATTTTAAAGATTTATGATGAGGGGGTTGAGATTTGATTGAAGCACTAATGTGGGTCCTCCTGGGCGTGGGAAAGGAAGGAAACTCCCCAAGCACCAGCTCCCCCCACCCCAAGGGAGGTAAAAGTAGCCTTGCCAAGGCTGAGCTCTATCAGGTACTTCCAGAGCCTTCCTGATAATCCGGTAGCATGAAGCACAGCGTCTCCAGGCAGGTGGGAAGCAGAGGGTGGGGGTGAAGGGTGCACCCTCCTACTGTGTCAGTTCTAGCTTTAAGCACCGATGGCTCATCTGTGCGCCCCTCGGAGCTGGCAGCCCTGTGGGGGGTGGGGGGCACTCCTCATCCTGCTGTAGAGTCTGGCATTAGTTAGCTATCTTCTGCCAGGGTCCAGATGGAGGGAAAACCATGCACACACATGGGCGAACACATGTGCGTGTCTGTGGCACGTCACCTGCAGTTATCCCGTCACCCACGTGTGAGCGTGTGTGCCCTGTGCCATGTGTCTCCGGTGCACCACATGGGTAGCCCAGATGTGTAGACATCGTGTGTGCACAGCACGTGTGTATCGTGTTTCGTGTGTGTGCCCTGCTAGGCATACAGCATGTTCCGTATGTCTGTGGGATGTCTGCACAGTGGGTGCTTGCACACACATGCACACACACGCAGCTGTGCACGCCTGCTGTCACACACCTTGTCGTCAGAGCACAGCTGACCTCGGACTCCGGCTCTTGCACGGCACTCAGTGAGCACACGGCAGGGCAGGAGCTGCTGTGTCTGGGGTCAGCTTTGCCCCTCTGCAGCTGTGCCCGCCGCCCCCAGCCGGGCCTGGGGCGGAGCACTCGCGCTGGTGCTAAAACCAGACTGTGTCTGTGCCACTGGGCCTTGGGCTGCGGCTGGCGGGTGCACACAGCCTTAGCACTCCTGCTCAGCAGGGTTGGGGCGTGGTGGCGTGGACAGTGGGGAAACCAGAGAAGCATTCTTTGGAGGCAGAAGGACTGGCGGCACTGGTGTCTGCTCGGGGAGCAGGGACTCGGGGGGTAGGCCAGAGGCCAATCGTGCCTCCTCCGGGCGGGGATGGCTGGACGAGAGCCGTCCCCTCTATCTTGAGGACACCTGGGGGGTTTTTTTGGGTTGGTTTTTTTACCTTTGTTGGTTTTTGTTTCGGAGGTTTTTTTGTTTTTTTATTTTTTCTACCCTCTTTGAATGTTTTTCGGTTATTCTTAAAAGTCAGAACATGATCATTGGAATGCAGAAGAGACCTTCTTAATTAGCTTGAGAATCATAGATCCTGTTGCCAGTAACTCACTGTGGGCCTCAAAGGTGCCTCAAAGGTGCCTAAATGGGACTAGCTAGGGGGACAGGTGAGATATCATGGATGAAGGAATCTCTTTGGCGCTTGTGATGAGTTCAAGGGGCCCTCTCATCTGAGCTGAGAGGCATGCTTCCCTTTCTGAATGAGTTTGGTTGCTGAAAACGGTCCCATCCTGGTATTAACAACTGAATGTAATCACGGCTCTCAGATCTGTTTTGACTAAGCTTCCCAGGAAACAGTACAGAGCAGAGGCAGCAGGACTAATTGCACTGGGTCCTTCAAATTCCAGTTTGCATTTTCAGACCTTGTTCAGAGTAGCGCGACTTAAACTCGGATAAACATGTCACAGAAGGCCCTGTAATTGTACTATTTTGCTCTTCCCTGCCCAGGTGGGTGTTTGCCAGGGTTTGCAGCGGTTGCTATTTAAGTGCTTTCCAGTGACATGTAGAAATGGGATTAAACAAGCTGGGATGTCAGGAATTCACATGCTTTCCTCCAGTCGGTCTGTGACCAAAGAGAAGCCCATCTCCTTGGGGCCTCCTGAGTCTGTGGCCCCCATGGCAGAGGGCTAGCGTAGGCAGGCAGATGTGGACACACAGGTGCATAGCCTTTTTTCCTATCTTCTGTTTATTTCATGTTGTTCTGATTTTCCATTAATTACATGTAATATGTTTCATTTTGAAACAAAGCTCCAGTAAGAAGAGGGACAGCCATAAATAAAAGATAATTGCTATTGTAGATATAGACATGTGATTAAATTGAATGTATGTTCAAAATTAGAATGTGCTAGTATCAAGAAACACATCTCCTACTATCTTAATTAAGATTGGGTTTGATTGTTTCATCTTTAATGCAAATAAGAGTGACTGTAATAGACTAGAATAACACCTGATTTCTCTCACAAGGAGAAAGCCCTGATGCCAGGGATGCCCCGTGTGGTGGCCCCACAGCATCCCAGGGACCAGGCAGAGTCCACAGCAACCCCAAGCTAACTTCTAGTTTTGATCCTCATAGATCAAAGTGGCTGCTGGAACACCAGCCATCACATGCACCTTTCAGGCCAAAGAAAATGACCCAAAAGTGTCTTCTCGGCTGTATCAACTGTCTTTAAACAGCTTTCTTGGAAACTCGTGCTGGCTCCCAGTTCTGTCTTGCTGTCCGGGCTTTAATTCTAGCACCACACTTGGTTTCTAAGGAACCTGGGGGCAGATGCATTCTGGGCCATAATGTGTCCCGCTTAGAATCAGTTTTCAGCTCCAAAGACAGAAGAACAGACTGGACAGTTTTGGCAACTAGAAGTTCCTATTTCTGCAGTCTACTCAGAACAGGTGTTGTGGGACTTCCAGTGGGATGATGAAAAGAGTGAAAGGTGGAGGGTGTGGAAGACCCGCATTAGCGTCTCCTGGAAGGGCTAGCTCAGGTATGGACAGCAGCTGCGTTTGAGAGCGCAGGCATGGCAGGGCAGGGCGGGGTGGGAGGAGCAGGCAGAGGCTGCCAGTCCAAAATAAAGGACCAGGACTGGGGAGGGGGCAGGGACGGGCAGGAAGCCTGGACTTTGGACTCAGGATTCTGCTAACTCAGAGCAGGTGGGCAGGTCATGTAGGTGGCAGGATTTAGGCTCCCAAGGGGTAGGTCTCTGGCACAGGCCAGGCCCCAGGTGAGAATACTTGTTGCAACAGGAACCCAACAGACAGACCCCACATTGTATGCAAAGTCACCCACTGTAGCAGAAAACTTAGGGACTCTCAGAGACAAACTCAGAGACAAAAACAGCATCTCTCTTGTTAATTAGAGATGATGTTGGAAACTAACCAGTGCTTTCAAAGTGTCCTGTCCTGAAATGTCGAGAACATGCTCGAGACCAGGGGCACAGAGCTGACCCCAGGGTGGCTGGGTTACAGCAGTAGTGGGGCGGCATACTGTGGAGCAAAACCAGCAGGAGAGAGAAACTTCAGAAGAGAGAATGAGAAAGAAACAAATACCCAGAAACCGAATAAGAGAGAAGAAAGACCCAGGAGCAGGTGAGGAAGGAGACCCAAGGGCTCAAGCTGCTGGCCCACCCCAGAGGCTGAGGGTGGTCTCTGCACTCAGATGTCACTGCAGCGACCAGCAGCAGCTGGAAGTTGAGGACACCGTTGGGTGCCGTCCAGCCACCCAGGAACGTCGGTGGAGAAACAGGAATACCAGCGGGCCCTACGACACCCTGGTGAGCCTTGATGTGAACCACACAGAAAAAGCCAGCCAGAACAGCCGCTTGCGGAGAGACCATCCCAAAGCCACACCTGGAAGAGCTGGACCTCCTCCTGTCCTGCAGTGGAGAGTGGGACGGAGGTGGCGACGAGGCAGCCGGC